TGCATCTAATCAACTGTTTCATGGGTTCACTGAGTTTCACTTCAGTGACTATTTTTCATTTCTACAAGTTATTTTTTTGTACAATTCTCCCTGGCTATATTTATACTCTCTAGTCACACATTTTCTTTGATTTGTTATTTTGTTTCCTTCAACATTCTAAACATAGGGATTTCTTTATTCTTTATCTTAAAATTATAATTTCTGCAGCCCTGTGAGGGCTAATTCAGAACTTTGTTGCTTCCAATTTTCACTCATGATGACTTAAAAAATCATATTTGCATGAATTTAATCTATGGAAATCCTGTGAGGTCTGTATTGAAGGCAACATTCCCCAAAGAAAATTTGTATTTTCTTCATCAGGAATCCCAAGGTGCCCAATGTAGGACCACTTTAAGATGGTTTCTTAAGGTTCATGATAAAGTAAATCAAAGCTTCAAGCCTGTAAATTTTTTTCCTATATAAGAATGGGGTAGAGAAAGTCCAGTTACTCAGTTACTTACCTTTGGTAAATAGTAGACTATTTCTGCCTACCCTTTCACTACAGGTGTAGCCTTCTGTGTCAAAGCCTTATTTCAGAAGTTCCTGCCCCACCTCACAATCTTTCATGAGATCTAAGCCATTCCTCAACATCTCACAAAGACTGTTGAAATGTAAGACTCTAACTGAGACATATATACATTGCTAGTGGGAATGCAAAATACAATAGCCACTTTGGAAAACACAGTGGCATTTTCTTAAAAGGTTAAACATAACCTTAATTATATGCCCACAATCCAATTCTTACATATTAACCCAAATGAAATGAAAACTTCTATTCATACAAAAATCTATATGCCAATGTTCCAAGTGACTTTATTCATAAATGCCCAAAACTAAAAACAACCTAAATGTCCATGAACTGAATAATAGATAATCAAATTGTGGTATATTCATACTAAAGAATTGGAATACTACTCAACAATAGAAAAGAATGAATCACTGATACACACAACAACATCAGTGAATCTCAACATACATACATATATAAATGGTTCCATGTATATAACGTTCTGGGAAAGGCAAGACTATAGGGCCAGACAAGAGCTCAGTAGCTGCTAGAGGTTCAGGATGAATGCAAGAGACATAAAAAGCAGCACAGGGGAATTTTTGGAAGTTAGAGAATGATCGTTTATCTTGACTATGGTGATTACATAACTGTAAAGATTTTCCAACATTCACAGAATTTTACATTTGAAGGGGTGAATTTTATTATACATAAATTATACCATAATTTTTTTAAAGGAAAAGGAAAGAAAAATTCAGAACTAGATGGTTTCACTGGCAAATTCTACCAAACATTTAAAGAATTAATACCAATTTTTCTCAAACTCTTCCAAAACTGTAAAGGAACACTCCCAAATTTTATAAGGCAAGTATTTATCCTGATACCAAAGCCATATAAGAACACTACAAGAAATACAGGTCAATAACCCTGATGAATATAGATGAAAAAAATTTCAACAAAAATATGAGCAAACTGAATTCAAGAGCACATTGAAGGATCATACAGAATGATCAACCAGGATTTATCCCTGGATGCAAGGGTGGTTTAACACATGCAAATCTACAGATGTGATATACCACATTATAAAATGAAAGGCAAAAATCATATGACCATCTAAATTGATGCAAAAAATTCATCTGACAAAATACAACATCTTTTCATGACAAAAACATTCAACAAATTAGGCACAAACAGAACATACTTCAACATGGTAAAAGCATATATGACAAGCTCACAGTTAACATCAGACTCAATAGTGAAAGGTTAAAAGCTTTCCTCTAAGATCAAGACAAGAGCGCCCACTGTCACTACTCCTATTCAACACAGTACTTGAAGTCCTAGTCAGAGCAATCCACCAAGAAAAAGAAATAAAAGGCATCCAAATTGAAAGGAAGAAATAAAACTGTCTTTGTTTGCAGATCATATGGTCTTACATCTAGAAAATCCTAACTGTCCACCCAAAAACTCTTAGAATTAATCAACAAAGTCAGCAAAGCTGCAGGATAAAAAATCAATATATAAACATCAGCTGCATTTTTATACACTAAAAACAAGCTATCTGACAAAGAAATAAAAATAAAGAAAACAATCCAATTCACAATAGTATAACAAAAAATAAAATACTTAGAAATGAATTTAGCCAAGGTGGTGAAAGATTTGTACACTGAGAATTAAGACTTTGATGAAAAAGTTGAAGAGGACAAACACAAAGATATCTCATGTTCATGGATTAGAAAAATCAACATCACAATAATATCCATTCTATAAACCATTTAGATATTCGGAGCAACCCTATCAAAATTTGAAAGGCACTTTTCACTGAAATAGATAAAAGTGCTCCTGAAATTTGCATGGAACCACAGAAGACCGCAAGTAGCCAAAGCTACCCTGAGAAGACAGAAGTGGGAAGCATCACACTTCTATTTCAAACTAACCTACAATGCTAGAGTACTCAAAACAGTGTGATACTAACATGAAAACAGACAAACCAATGGAATAGAATCAAAACCCTAACAATCAACACTTGCATATACAGTCAACAAGTATTTGACAAGGGATCCAGGAATATTCCACAGGGAAAGAACAGTCTCTTCAACAAATGGCGGGAAATCTGGATAACCACATTCAGAAGAATGAGGTTGGAGCCCTATCTTACCACTCAGAAAAATTAACTTAAAATGGATTAAAACTTAAACACAAGACCTGGAACCATAAAATTCCTAGAAGAAAACAGAGGGAAAAAAGCTCCTTGACATTGGTCTTGATGACAATTTTTAGATATAACACCAAAACCACAAGCAACAAAAGGAAAATTAGCAAGTGAGTCTGCAAACTAAAAAGCTTCTTCACAGCAAAAGAATTGATCAGCTAAATGAAAAGGCACATTATAGAATGCAAGAAACTATTTACAAGTCAAAAATCTGGCTGTTAAGGGTTAATATCCAAAATATATAAAGAACTCACAATGCAATAGAAAAAAGAAAAAATATATATAATTTAAAAATAGGCAGATGAACTGAATAAACATTTTTCCAAAGACAACATGCAAATGGCCATTAGGTACATAAAAGGGTGTTCAACATCCCTAGCCATAAGGTAAACACAAATCAAAACCACAATGGTATGACTTCATGCCTCTATTAAAATAGCTATCATCAAAAATTCAGAGGTAACAAGTATTGGCCAGGATGTGGAGCAAACCCAACCCTTGTGCGTTATTGGTAGGAATGTAACTTAGTGATTCCACTATGGAAAGCAGTATGGAGGTTCCTCAAAAAATTAAGAGTAAAACTACATGTGATCCAGTAATTCCACATGTGGGTGGATTCACTGTTATGCTGGGTATGCATCTGGCCCTAGAACAACAAGGGGTTAAGTGCACTGACAACTTGCACAGTTGAAAATCCATGTATAACTTTTGACTCCCCAAAAACTTACCCACTATTTGCCTACTATTGACTGGATGACTCACTGATAACAATTAACATACTTTTTATGTTACATGTATCATACACTGCAGTCTTAAAACAAAGCAAGCTACAGAAAAGAAAATGTCATTAAGAAAATCATAAGGAAGAGAAAATACAGCTAATAGTAGTGTTACATTGAAAAACATCCACGTGTAAGTGGACCTACACAGTTGAAACCTGTGTTGAAGGGTCAACTGTATATCCAAAATCATTACATCAAAGAGATACCTTTACCCCCAAGTTCATTGTATCATTATTTATAATAGCCAAGATATGGAAGCAACTTAAATGTCTGTCAACAGATGAATAAAGATGTGGCATGTACAAACAACAGAATCTTATTCGGCCATGAGAAAAGTAGTCCTGCCATTTGCAACAACATGGATGGACCTCAAGGCCGTTATGAGAAGTAAGGCAGAGACAAATACTGCATGATATCATTTTTGTGTAGAATCTAAAAATGCCAAACTCATGGAGGCAGAATATAGAATGTTGGTTGCCAGAAGTTTGGGATAAGGGGAAATTGGGAGATGTTAGTCAAAGAATACAAACTTCCAGTTATCATACTGATAAGTTCTGGGAATCTAATGTACAGCATGGTGATTATAGTTAATAATACCATATTATATGCTTGATATTGGCTAAGAATAGATTTTAAATGTTCTAACAAAAAAGAAATGGAAATTATATGAGGTGATGCAAGTGTTATCTCACTCTATGGTAGTAATCATTTGCAATATACAAATGTATCATATCAAACCATTGTACACCTTAAACTGACACAATGTTATATGTCAAATATATCTCAATAAAGCTGGAATAAATTTAAATCTCTAAGTTCCTGGTGTTGGCAAATATCCCTCTGGTTTTCACTTCCCTCCACATATTTGACCTCTAAGGATCTCCCTTCTTTTAAGTACAATGATGAATCTTAAAAGATTTTGTTCTGTTTTACCCAGCACTTAGACACTTTCAAAGAGGAGGATTTAAAGAATACCTAGTCTACCATATTGCCAGAAGCAAAATTCTGCCATTCTATTGAAGAGTAAGACTATCTTAAAATTTCATGATGTTTTTAACTTTTTCAACTCATGTTATTGCTGTATCCCATTTGTATGGAATGTAATAATGTGGTTATTATCCTGTTCATAGTCAAGAAAACTGAAGCTCAAAGAAGCTGAGATTCATTGTCTACTGTGTGTGTAGACATCTACCCTTATGTTAACTGAATTAATAGACTCAGAATGGAAACCAATTTGAAAATTGTCTTAATTTTCCTAGAATTAGGTAAATATGAAACATTTAAAGGGTCATTTACCTTCTACATCATCTATACCTGGGAGTGTACCATGTGACCTTGGGCAAGTCACTTAACTCTCTAGTAGTTTCAAAGCACCTAGTTCATAGAATTTTTTAGACAATTAAACAATTTAATTCCAGTCAAACACATAAAAAAGCATGTGGCAAAAGTAGGAAGTAGTGCTCACTTTGAATAAGCCGTGCTTTTGGTTGCGCTGACCAAGCCACAAATTGCTTCCTGGGGGAAGGTTGGTCTCAGGAGGGTCTATCACACGTTCATAAATCCTGTAGGAGAAAAGAACAGTTACTAATAAAAAGGCTCGCACAGAATCAACAGGCACACATGTTGTTTGAAGCAGTTGTGGCATTAGCTCCTAGTATGGAGAGACGGAGGCAATATGTGGCATGTTTTAGGTGGTGAGTGATATGAATAGAGATTCGTTTCTTGACAACCCTTGGATACATTTTCTGGGCTCCTCCTGGCTCTGCCTCTTTGCTCTTTTTGCAGGGGAAGGAAGAAAAGGGTAAATTTTCTACACTTTACACTTACTCTACGAGTAAAGTGGCTTCACCCATGTTACAGGTGAGAAAGCTGAGGTTCAGAGAATGTGGATGGTCGACCAAGTGAAGACAGGCAACAAGCAGTGAAGCTGAGCATCCCATCTGCCTGGCTGCAGAGCCCATGCACTCTCCTCCTTACTACCACTCTCCAGCTTTGGCTTATTAGCTGTTAGTCATTTCTATGGTAACCTCCTATAGCCCTTTAAACAACTGAAGAACAGCTGCCTACATGATTGGCTTACAATATCAAGTAAATGAAATCATCCAATGAACAAATATTTTTGAGCACTTTTTATGCTCTAAGCCCCACACAGGCAACAGGAGATAAAGCAATAAACCAAGTTCTACCCTCGTGGAGTAAAGATAAAATTCTAAACATGGAGAAAATCTTCATATGATATATGAAGACAAATAGCTAATACAGAAGTAGAAACACCGCAAGATCTTTGAAGGTACCTAGAGAACCTACTGAACAATTGGATTGTCTTGACTGTCCTGCCCTACTGAGCCCCCAGTCAGTCACAAATGTTGCTTTGCGCTCCCTTTAGAAATAGTCCCTGCTACCACCAGCTGATCTCTGACTTCCCCCTCACCCCTGCCAGGAACGTCCCACCACCTAGTGCTCAGAAGTGGAAGGAGGAGCTGGCCTAACAACTGAACTTACCCTTAGATGCTCAGAGGATTCTGGGTGGCGTGACATATGGGGACCCACTGTTCAATTCCACCACCTGACAGCCCTGCCCTTCCCCTGCATTCCCCAGTCCTTGCTCAGAGCAGCTGCAGGAGGAGTCATCCCCAGGTCAGCAGCAGAGTCTAGCATCCAGTCGGTCCTCTCTGCTGGAATGCGGCTGACTGCCTCTTGCCAGAGGGTGAGGTGGTCCACCAGCAGCTCTCAGAAGGAACAAACTGAAAGACCGTCCAGTTACATCAAGGCAAGTGAATGAGTGTGAGATGTTGCAGCTGGGAGCTGTCATGCCGCAGCTTCTATTTCAGCGGCATCGTCCATGACTCTCCTATTCCCCACCAGAAAGATGTTCTTTCCTGACAATACATGCAAGGTTTTGAACAGAGAAAGTTCTAAATAGATCATGTCCTTCCTACTAATTATTTTCCATTAGAAATGGAGGCTCAAAACAGAAAAAAGTTCCCCCCAAATAGACAGCCTGTGTCTTCTGCACAGGAATGTAACCTTTTTACATGTTAGAATGAACCATTTTAGATGAAACAATCTGCCAAAACTGCTTTAACACAAGAAGCTGCTATATTCTTTCAGTTTTTTCTAATATTAGTGAAAAACTAGAAACAAGCCAAATTTACAACAAAAGAGAAATGTGTAAGTTATAGTAGATCAGCCTGATAGAATTTACTACAGTCATTAAGAGTGATAAATATGCAAGTCATGAAATATTGGAAAGTAAATACAAAATAATTCTCTCTGGAGGAAAGTGGAATGCAAAATTATTTATGAACTACAGAGATAACAATGCAAAAATTATGTTCAATGTTGCTGAATTTCAGAAGGCCAGAGAAAAACAGAAATCACTGTATTTAGGTGAGGAGGCAGAAGCATAATTTTCTATAATGTTGGTGTACTAATAAATCAAAATGTTGTCAAACTATCTTAACCTTCATTTGAAAGCATTTGCATCTGTCAGCGTGAGAAACACTTTCAATTCAAATGCTTTCTTTTTGGTTTTCAATACGCTACAAGGTGAGCTCCAATGAGCAGAGTAGACCCTTATTCAATGTTTATTAAGTACATGAATGAAGGAACAATAAAAAAGATAAACCCCTATCCTGCCTTATCTTCCCACAAACATAATAGTTCCTCATGCCTTAGAAATAATTGAGGAAACAAACATCTGAGGCCTAATGTCAGCTAAAGCAGGGCAATGACTCAAAGGGGCATCACTTCCAGCGTCACACAGTCCCCATCAGGATCCCCTCCAGATGCCAAGGGAAGCCTGCCGCCTACTGCCTTCCTGGTAGCCCTGCCAACTCACTCCAGGAGGCAGCCCTCACTAAAGAATTCCATGCAGAAGGCAGAATCACGAACTGACTGGATACAGAGAAAACAGGATGGAGAGCACAAAAAAAAAGACAACAATAAAAAGTAAAAATTAAAACCCACACAGAGGAAATCAAATCATGAGAAAAATCAGACTCCGTTTGAGGGACATTCCACCAAATAACTCCTTATGAGCTTTCAAATGTCAATGTCATGAAAAATAAAGACTGAGGAACAGTTGCTGATTAAAAGATAACGAAGGGACATAAAAACTAAATTCAAGACAGGATCCTGGATCAGATTTTGGAGCAGTAAAAAAGAAAAACCCATACAGGACATTAGTAGGAAAATTGGTGAAATTTGAATAGGAACTATAGATCATATAATAGTAGTATACTGATGTTCAATTTCCTGATTTTGATAATTGGGTGATGTATATTTAAGTAAATCTTGTTCGTAGGAAATATGCACTGAAGTATTTGGGGTAGAGGGTCACGTTGTCATCAACTTACTCTCAAAGGGCTCAGAATAACAATGTGCGCATATACCTAAGTACATATATATATAAACACACACACATTATTTAGAGAAAGAAAGCAGAATCTGGGCAAAGAGTATATGACTATTTTTGTACCATTCTTCAAACTTTTCTGCAGGATTAAAATTATTTTTAAATAAAAAGTTTTAAAAATAGAATTTAAAAAAGGGGCCTATAATACACGTAAACTAAAAGTACACACATCCAAAACAACTTTATACCTATTAGCCAAAGGATACATACAAATGTAAAGACAACAAAGTATCATAGTGTTTTCTAAGGTAATGGAAATGACAAAGTGGGGGAAAAAGTGCCCTAGTGGGTGAATGAACACACTAATGAAATAAGAGTACTGTACAGACTAATGCTGCAAATTTATCAAACTAAGAAATAGAATTTTCACATCCCTATTTGTATGCCTGGACAGGAAGGGTTATGTCACCCATGTGTGGGACAAATAAATATAATTAGTACCTTCACAGAAGGACTGGAGCTCCTTAAATGCAGCTCGGGTGAAATGGCTCAGGCAACGAGGCAGCTGTAGCAGTGATCCGTTACCTAAATCTAGTGAAGCCCATGTCAAGTGAAATGAGAAGTCAAAGCTAACACAGTGAACTCCTTAATTTTGAGTGTGGTCCAGAAATGGATCCGATACTCTAATATTCAGGTTAATGAGGTTTCTTTCACATCAACAGATACTGATTGCCTGTGATGTGTGTAACACTCTGCTGGTGTGGGCACACACACAAGGAAAATTAATATGGCCAAGTCCTTGCCCTCAGGTCAAAGGCCTGAGCCAGCAGATAATTTGCATGCACACACCTTATAATTACCTTATAATTCAGTGCAATAAGTGCAAATGATCTATGGAAGCAGAGAAGAAAGACAACAGAATTCTGTCTGTCATAGTCAGAGAGCACTTTCCAAAGAAAGCAACACTAGAGCTACCTTGAGTTTTGAAAAATCAAGTGGAGCCAACAGGTAGATCTAACAGCCAGCACTTGTACAGCACTTAGTGTGTGCCAGGCTTGGAACACAGCCCTATACCACAACTTTCATATATTAATCCACTTAATTTCCATGAGACCACCATCAGGTAGTAGTTCTTGGCTCAGGAAGGTTAAGTAACTCATCTGTGGTCAAGAAGCTTGTGAATGGCAGCGCAGAAATTTGCAACCCTGGAATCTGTGCTATTCACTCAAATTAAAATTTCTAACTTGATTTATTGATGGGAAAGGAAAAGGGGAAACAAGTTCATGTGCTAAAGCATGCAGCCAAAACTGTTAAGCTGTCTGGAAACCTACTTTCTTTTCCTCGTGGGCTCGCAGTTACAGTGCATTTCCAGGCTCCCTCACAGCTGTGGCTATGGAACTTGAGTGTAAAGGATGTGCACAACTTGTAGGCCTGCCCCAGTGCCCCCAGAAATCTCCCCCAAACTAAGAGGTAGACAGAACCATGTGATGGAGGATCCTGGACCCTAAATGATGCTGTGTAAGGCCACCTGCCAGCCAGACACACCCAACTGGAAGCTACATAAGAAAATTCTGTTAACCCACTGAAATACACAGGGTTTTCTGCAGCTGTACCCCTAACAGATGTACCCCACTGAAATCGAAAAATGACTGTTGTATATTCATGCTCCCAAAGCCAAGAAGTACCAGAGATAGAGTGGTATAGCGAAGATAACATGAGTTTGGAATAAAATAGATTTGAGTTCCTATTTCAGTTCTGCATTATACTGTCTGGCCTCAAGTTATTTACCTTCTCTGTACCTCGGCTTGTTCATTTAAAAATCAGGGAAAAAAATTTGGAATATTAATGCTGATGGTATGGACTGTGGTGAGGCTTCAATGAAGTAGATTTAAACCCTTTGGCACATAGTAGGTGCTGCCATTCGGTAAAACTCACAGGTGCCTGAGAATGCAAGCTACACATCACCAGACCCAGCCCAGCCCACCAGCTGCATCTCCTGCCAAATGAACCCAATGAGATGATGTTATCAGTATCTTAGATGCTTGCTTGTGCTGCAGGATACAGTTTAAAGGAATGACATCACTGTCACAAGGCAAATATTTTAGGGTGTGAGATTTCAATATTAAATGCAAGAACATAGGGGCTATTTTGTCATAAGTTTTCACTGACTTCAGAGACTTAAACCCTAAGTTTCTTTTCACCTTC